ATTTATAGAAGAAACAGCAATCGCAGGGGCTTATTTCATATTTGTATCCTCCACAAAATTTAACACATTTGGAAAATAATACTCTGCAAGTTTTAGGGATGATTCAAGATGGAAAAAGTCTTCATGCAGTCAGCTCTGGGGCTCTCCTTGAAAACTACCAGTGGAGTCCAGGCTTACTCATTTTTAAAGCTTCTGTCTTACTAAATGTATCTGTATGTAAATGATCCGTGTCATTGCCGTGAAAAAGAAAAAAAAATCTTCTGTTACGGCAACAGATGCCTGTAGTAGCTTTTCTAATATTTTTTGTTTTCAATTTTAAAGACAAGGTTTCTCTTTTGTAATAGCCCTTCCCTGGCTGTCCTGGAACTTGCTTTGTAGATCAGGCTGGCTTCGAACTCACTGAGATCCACCTGCCTCTGCTTCCCGAGTGCTGGTATTAAAGACATATGCCACTATCGCTCAGTTAGCTTTTCTACTCTTTAAGTATAAGGTATAATGTTTCCCCATTCCCTTGAGTCTCAAAAGATAAAATGGAGCCGGGCAGTGGTGGCGCACGCCTTTAATTCCAGCACTTGGGAGGCAGACGCAGAAGGATCTCTGTGAGTATGAGGCCAGCCTGGTCTACAAGAGCTAGTTCCAGGACAGGCTCCAAAGCTACAGAGAAACCCTGTCTCGAAAAACCAAAACCAAACAAACAAACAAAAAGGATAAAATGGTTTGAGAGGAGGGTTCCTTAGACCCCTTCCCAAATAATGCAAGCTATTTCTGTTTGCTGTCCTGTGTTGCCCCGCAGAATTCAATGGCAAGACCTTATTGCTGAAGACACCACACACTGGTACTGATTTGGAGGCTTCCTTTATGCTGGCTAGCTTTTGCAGTGTTGGAAGGTGCCATAAGCAGTTCTGCCCAGCAACAAACCAATGCAAACTCCAATAATGACCCATCTGGTTAGGTATGCCCATTGGTTCAATAGTGGCATGGCTATTTTAGGAGTAACCATACATTTTCTGATTGATTAACGCACAATCCACAGGTGGGGATGCTGGGACTGTAAACCTAGCCAAGAACTCATGACTGGGGAGGGCCTGGGCCCTAGGGAAGAACCTACTAATATTGGTTTGTTAAACTGACATAGAATCACATTGTCATCTAAATATACGTCTTCATACCTATATGTAAGTGTAGCTCTTAGTCCTTATCTGAAAAGCTTCTCTTTGCAGTTAATGGCAAGTAATAAAAAGACTCACATTGGATCTGATCAAAGTGCAAAAAAATAAGTTCCTGTGACTGTGGAGTATTAGGCTCTAAATGGGACACACAGAGACACACACACACACCCTCCATGCTGCAAGGCTCAGAGAATATCACAGAGAAGGTAGGAAAATAAAGGACAGACGCCAGAGTCAGAGGACGATGATCAGCACACCCAGGAGCTCACTGCAGCTGTGGCCACCTACACAAGGACCCCACACATTTCATCATGCCAAGGGGAAGGGCTCATCAGGCCACAGCTCTTCACTGAGGGACTCCTAACAGGGAAGGGTGGCAGAGGGAAGGGGGGGGTCACTTCAGTTATGCAACTACTCATAAATTGCTTAACCACCTTCCACCTTTACTCATGCAGGCAAGCCTATTAACCTCAGAGGGTCACGCACAAACCATGAAAGTAGGAAGTAAATTTGTAGGAACTAAGTGCTTTAGTGGGAGAATGGGAGATGAGACAGTTTAATGGGACAAGGACTAAAATTCATTATACACATGCATAAAACTGGCAAATAAAAATTAATTTTTCAAAATGACAAAATTGGTGTTCCCTCCCTGCCTTGTCTAATAACCTGTGCCACTAGCCCATTGGATTCAGGAAGCTGCCCCATTTCTACTTCTTGCTCTACAAATGTATCTAGTTTAAAACAAGGCAAAATGATAGATACAAATTACCTGCTTTCTCCAATCCTATACTATGACTTCACATGTCTTTTTTCCCCTATAAACTTCTGGGCAATGGGCCTTCTAACTTGGTGTGGTGGCTCACTTGAGAAGCTGATGCAGAGGACTGAAATGAGTTCCAGGGTAACTAGGAGGAGTATATAGTGCGAGACCCCGTTTCAAATAAAAATGATCCATGCCACGTGCAACTTCTCTACCCAACCCTATCCTGCACTTCCTTCTCCAGGACCTAGCCCAATGGCCAATCCTCCTCTCTCTGTTCCCTCCCAACCCATCAGTTCTAGTCTGGCTCCACATTCAGTACCCTGGCCTAGTCCAACTAACCCCTAGGCTTTGTCAGGCCCGTCTCGTGCCACATCCAGCCTTGCCGCCCACCAGATCTCCTCCTAACACTCCAGGCTTGGACCAGGACACATACCCTGTACATCAGTCCAGACCCCTCTGCCCACCTGACTTTATTCCATTAAGCCATTTCCAACCTCTAGGCCCAACCCACATAACACATCCTCTCTTCCAATCCTATAGAAATGTTTGACTTAATGTGACCTTTGTCATTATGAGGATACAATCTTAACTTTGTAAATATTTAGCCTTTTACATTTTTCCCATTTTTAGTTTTTTTTTATAATTTCATATGTGAGTATAATGTATTTTTGTCACCTCTCCCCTCCTTCCCCATTCTAGGTCTTCCTGTACCCCCAGTCCTTCTTAAATCCATATTCTCATTCTCTATATGTGTATGTCGGGCTGACTACTTAGGCACAGACAACTTACTCGAGGGCTAGTCTCTGAAGGAAACTGACCCTCCCTCTCCCTTAGCAGTCTCTGACTCCCATAGCTCTTCACCTACGCATAGGGTCTTGGAGCCCTTCACCTAGCCATGCTGGAATGTCAACTAGATACCTAACCTTTCTGTTGTTAGGATCTCACTATGGAGCCTAGGCTGGGCTTGAACTTGCAATCTTCCTGCCTGAGCTTCTGAGTGCTGTGATTACAGGTGTGAGCCACTTTGACTAACTTAGTTAACATTTACTGAACACCATCTGTTTTCTTGTCTTTCCCCTAGATACCCTCATTACTAATGGACCTCTTTCTAAGTACTTCCTAATGATTTGTACTAGTATATTTACAGAGAAAAATACAGTTTGAAGAGTAAGATTCAGACCCTGATCAACTGCTCATAAAAATCCCTTTCCCACAGAATTATCCTCTAGAATGGGTACTCCTGGATTGACTCCAGCCAATCATTTTAAACAATCCATATCTTTTTCTCACCTATTTGGATAATTATGTATCCTTCTACTGATTTCAGCTCTGCTATATATATTCTAATGCTCAAAATTTGAGGTCAGAAAATTATAGCTACTCTGTGTGATCCTTCATTTTGCATTCAACATTATTGCACACTGCTCTGCCCTCACTGTGTGCCCGATTATAAAGGTTGAGAAGTCAGCCTGAAATACAGTAGAAGCATGCTTGTTAAAAGACAAAGCACAAGTGAAGTAAGAAACGGCACCGCAGTTTACACAGAAACACATAATGGCATTCCATCCCAACAAAGCAATTTCTCCTTGCTGTTATTTAGAACCTTTATTGTAGCACACAAGCTGTAGGGTGACGTCACTGTTAGGCTACTCTACATTTAAAGAAGCAGTAAGGGTTATATCAATATCGACGATAAATATTCCATTCACATTTCTATTAAAACACTACTACAGAAGTCCCTAGGCTTCAAGACTTAATCACATTATGCACAGTTCCCTCTCTCTGGCTGGTAATAAGCACTCTCGAGCTTTTGAAACCAAAAGACACCACTTTGTTAGCAGAGCAGCAATTTCTGTTGCAGGCTTGCAATCAGGTCTTTATGCTGAATTCAGTCCTGCTTCAATCTATCAAAGCGGCTTTCGACTACGGACTTCTTACACTAAGCCTTTACTTTCCATTCCGTGTACTGGTCTGTAAAAGAAACAAATGGCCACCTGGCCACTGGTAAGCTGCCAATGGAGCATAGCTGTATTGTGATTAAAAATGACTGTGTGTGCCATGTCGGCCTGCTGAGCTGGCAGATGGATCACAGAAGGCTGAGATCTCCACTACCTGAAGTCACACCAGGACATTTTCATCCCCCTTGAGATTCAAAGATACTCAAAATGGTAGCATTAGTACACTAGCAGGTATAAGTAATAGAAATGCAATTGGATTAACATGTAGAATCTCCTACGTGTTACATATACATACTAGGGACATTCACAATTGAGTTTTCAATTCAAGCCTCATATTGACTTCAAGTAGTCAGGAAGCAGTATTGTCTTCATTTAACAAGTAAGGATACTAAAGCTCAGAGAGATTAAGTTATCTTGATTACATAGTCAATAATAGATCTAGAATTTGAGCCAAACCTAGCAAGACCCAGGTCCCATGTTCCTTTTCTACTATAGGATTTCTCTTAGCAACGAGAGACAAGCTGCCTATTACCTGCTTCTGCTCCTGTTCATATCTAAAGAAAGCAGGAGTCTATTGGTAATTTCATTTACTTTGCCATTTTGCCTAGGTTTAGCCTGCCCTAAATTTCTCCTTTTTTTCAAGACCGGGTTTCTCTTTGTAAGAGCCATAGCTATCCTAGAACTAGCTCTGTAGACCAGGATGGCCTTGAACTCACAAAGATCTGTCTCTTTCTCCCAAGTGCTGGATTAAAGGCAAGCGCCACCACCAATCAGCTCCGTTTTTTACCTGCAGCTTTTCTTACAAAATCCAACATGGCTATCCTGTTGCCTGCCTTCCCACTTTGCCCATAACAATGAGTTACTAGAATGTCTCAAGCTTACACACTGGACAAATCAGTGCATCACACGGCCTTTGTACTCTAAAATCCTTGAAGTCATTTTCACTTAAGTCTAGGAGTATTAGGTTTTCACTTCTGCTGAGGACAGAGGAAAGAGCACCACCACAAGTATCTGTAAGATGACAATCTACCAACTTGTGAAAGATCAGAGATTCAAGAAAGAAAACAAGGTGGGAAGACAGCTGCCTTCGCCTGATGCAGTTCTACTCACACAGGGACGAGCCGGTCGGGGTTCTTAGGCCAATGGGGAGACATCTGGCACCTTGTGGCACTGGGCATGTGAGCCTTATTATAAGGCAGTATGTGGTGAAGACTTGGAGAAAGAAAACCAGAATGAGCCATGTGCTATTGAAGGACAGAAAGGAAGAAATGGAGCGGGTGAGGAGTGTGCCAATGGTGGAGGCCTGCTTGCCACCTGGGGCCATGGCGAAGTCATTCTGTGTTCCCATCAAACACAAGACCTATTTACACAGGAGACATACAAGATTCTATCCAGATTTTGGTATCAGGTATATTTCATGACCAGAGGTGAGAAAAGCATTATATAAGCAATCAAAATAAAGAGAGGCAATCCAACTCCAAGGAATGTGGAAAGTGCTTCAACAGATGCTCCTGCCTCACTAGGCATAAGAGAATTCATCCCAAAGACAAGACACACATGTCAATAATGTGGCAAGTCCTTTTCCCATCACACAAATCAAGATCACCACAGAATCTATGCCGGTGAGAAACCTTACAGGTGTCACCAGATGCTCAACTCTTAGAAATCATTAGAAAATTCATGTAATGGGTACACTTCATAAAATTTCCTAGTATATCACCCAGCAATTCATCGTACCAATTCTCCATACATTGACCAAGTTATTGCACAGATTAAAATCCTCCAATTACTTTTCAAAGTTTAGTCAATATTTAGAAAGTTCTAGAGTTCTTATAAATTTAGAAACAATGTATCCCGATTTGAACTTTATAGTCATCAAACATTTGTTGTAAACTGAATTATTTGTGCATCCATTTTGGTGACATAACTATTCAAACATCAAATATTACAAATATGTAAATATACCTCATAAGAACATTATTTCCCTGCAATTATTTCCAATTCCACATAGAAACAGCTTGTCTTTAACTTCAAAGTATCTTCCTTCTGTGCCTTTGCAATCAAAATGTTAAACATTTAAAAAAAGAAGGAAATCAACTTCACTAGGCATGATGATATATATCTTAATCCCAGTACTCAGGAAGCAGAGGCAGATGGATTGATACCAAATCCAAAGTCAGCCTGGTGTTTGTGGCAAGACTGTCTCAACCGACCTCCCTAATCCTGGAAGAAAAAAAAGAGAACTTAATTTTATCCCAAGTTTCCTATATGCAGCCTAGAACACAGCCTCTCCTGGTACTCATCACAAGAACTGTAGTTTACAGTGGAGGTGTTTCAATCCTTCATACAGGACCTGCATACGCTCATCGCCTAAAGCATCACCACTGAGATCAAGGTCTCTCCAATGGTGGTTAATACAGAATGCAATGCACACATCCTGACAACACAGTCTGGTCGGGTAACAGGTCTACAACATGCCAATATATAATAGAGAAGAGGATGTCATTGTCTCGGCTGCTCCGGGACACTCTAGGAGTCATTTAGAAAAAGATACTAAAAAAAAAAAAAAAAAAAAAATACTAGAAAAAACTCTGAGTGCCATGTGAAAAAGACCATTTGGGCAGGGAACAGCAGAGATTCAAGGTCAGGGATGCTTTACTCCCTCCACAGGAGCTGGTTCTTCTCCCTCTCTCCCCCTTCCCTCCCGCCCCTCCCTCTCTTCCTCTCTCCCACTCCCACTCTGCTTCCTCTAGAGATTCAATCACCAGGACAACAAACAAACAAACAAAAACAGAAAAACAACTTAATTTTAGCAGCTGCTGTAACATCATGAACTCTATCTGTGCCTATACTGTTCCTGATACTCATGTCAGATCTGGTAACTGCCAGGCTGTTTGAATCCTTCACAGATCCATTTTAGTCTCAAAGCTCCAATGGTATTATGAATTAGCAGCAGAAGTACTGCCAGGCTCTGGGTAGAGATGAGGACCCGGGCAAGATGCTTACAACAAGCTGCAGAAAGGGGACAGTCCAGGGTTGGAGAGATGGCTCAGCAGTTAGGATCACTGGCTACTCTTTTCAAAGGGCTTGGGTTCAGTTCCCAGTACCCACATGGCAGCTCACAACCATTTGTAACTCGAGTTCCAGGAGATCCTACACACTCACACAGATATACGTGCAGGCAAAATACCAGCACACATAAAAAATAAACACAAAAGAAAACAGAAAAGGGACACTCAGAAAGCCTGGAGAAATGGAAACATAGGGCAGCTAGTAAGGAAGGCAGCAGAGAGTCCAACTGACTCCCAAAGGTTAAAGCCCAGGAAAAAGCCCAGGACAAGAACTTACACAAGACTCTCAGTGGCGTCTTTTCTGTGCAGCAGACCTGCACAAAGATGTTGGGCCACTGTATCTCCAAGGGCATTGCCTAAACCAAATAGCTCTTTTAAAGTCTGACTTGCAAGAAGAGAGCATTTGTGAGATGGTATGTGCTCAAGCTACCCAGAGAAAACAAAAAAATCTGTTATTACAGTTATTTTGAATTTTTGAGAACCAAATCTCCCTGCTTCTTCTCTTGAATTCTACTTCCTACCTCAACTTCCCAAAGAATCCCCTTGTGAGGTCTCCAGCACACAGGGGGTTTCTCCCACAGTTCAGCTGATCTTTATTATATAAATGTCCCTAAGGGCAGCCTTGTAATTTGAAGAACTTGTGATAACATCATTCAAATCTAGCCCCATATCCAACATCTGTAGCTATTCTTTTTTATTATATAAAAGAATTGTAAATTTAAATATACTTTGACCATATTATTCCCGTCCTAAATCATCCCAGATCCCTAACTACAAAAATTTAAGTTCTTTCTCAAAAAAACAAAAGCCCAATACAACAAAATTCCCCCCAAAACAAAATAATACATTCAAAACAAAACAAAAAAAACTGTAACCAAGTAAAAGCACATAAAAAACTGTTGAGTTGATTTATATGTTGGCCAACTACTCCTTAACATGAAATCTGTTCTGGAGTAGTTGCTATAGCCAGTATCGCTATTGGAGAAAACTGATTTTCCCTCTCCCAGCAGGTGTAAATGGCAGGTCAGTTGCTAACCTTTACTGATACTGGTCAAACTGGGTGGCTGCATGTAGAAGAACCAAAATAGATCCACGATTATTACCCTGCACAAAAATTAATTCTAAATGGATCAAAGACCTCAACATAAAACTGGGTACACTGTTCTACCTAAAGCAATCTATAGATTCAATGCAATCCCCATCAAAATTCTGCACAGATCTGGAGAAGACAATAATCAACTTTATATGGAAAAACAAAAAAACCCAGGATAGCCAAAACAATCTTATACAATAAAGGAACGTCTGGAGGCATTACCATCCCTGACTTCAAACTCTATTACAGAGCTACAGTATTGAAAACAGCTTGGTATTGGCAGAAAAACAGAGAAGTCGACCAATGGAACCGTATAGAAGACCCTGACTTTAATCCACAAACCTATGAGCACCT